AAAATAATATTATATTTATTAATCATTAAAATTAAAATATTAAATATAAAATTAATTAAAATACAAACCTATGTTGCTTTAATAATGTACAATCTCCACCTTCTGTTGAATCCAAATTATAACATACAAATATCCCTCAGCACTAGCCACCAACAACCTAAGTACTTTATGTACGCTACATAATAAAAAATATATATACATTTAAAAAAATATACCTATTTATATATTTATAGTAAATATTAATTTGATTGAACTTACACTGTGATGGCACAAACATTTTTTAATCCTTGAAATGGCAAGTGGACACTAGCAAAGGCACGTCCTTGATTAAAAACATCAGTTACTTGTGATGGCAAATAATTAGCTGATGCAGATACAGCTTTTGTTAAATATCCCATCCAAGTTTGTGATTCTTCTGCTGTTTGTCGTAATCTATAATTATGAATAATAAAACAAAATTTAAATATAATAATAATTTCAAAACATCAAATAATGACATATTACATACGCTTCCTTTGGTTCTTCCAATTTGAAAATATGTACTGTTTCAGTATTACTTGAACAACAAAGGAACATAGAATCCACACTAAAAGCAAGACTGCTTATAGATACACATCGTTTAACTCCACGTCGGAATTCAAATAATTTTGTACCATCATGAACCTTTAGAGATATAAAACATTTTTAGCAATATATTTAAATTTTTTGAAAAAATAATTAATATTATATAAATAATTAAACTTACATGAAAAACTCTGATTACAGTACCCTTTTCAGAAGCAGTAGCTACTTTGGTACCATTAGGACTAAATGCAAGTGCTGCTAATGGACTATCATGAGCAGGAATCATAGTTTTAGCTTGCTAAAACAATACAAAAAAATAAAACAATTAAATGTATTAATGTTATTTTTTTAAAGATTTTTTATAATACTTACAAGATTAATTGCATCAAATATTTGAACTTCACCAATTGTGTTTGAGCCTGGATAAGCTAAATAGCAATTATCACTATTTATTGATAATGTACACAGACCTGCTAAATTAGGTGGAGTATCTCGAATTGTATGTAATACTTTCATATCTCTTATATTATGAATATATAATGATTCTTCCAAACATACCACTAATCTCTGCAAATTTATATTATTTTATAATATAAATATTTATATTTAATTAAATTATATATTAAAGAGAAATACATATTATTATTATTATAATAATTATTAATAGAAACTTATTTGTATGAAAATTTTATATGTAAAATCTTTATCTTTATAATTTACATAAAAATTTTTTACTAAATTTCTTTTTATTTATTGAACTTTTTATCATAACTAATCTATATCCAAAATCATTACATTGAATCAGCCACTGAAAAATTGCTATATCTTATAATTAAATTATTATCTAATTTTTTTGTGATTTATTTTATTTATTATTCAAAAGGTCAAAAATACAAACTAGTTTCTATTATTATATTATTAGTTTTATTATTTTCTAATTATCTTATTAAAATATAAAAAAACTTACTGCTCTATTGAGTTTCACAGCTAAGATAGTATTAGAATAACTATAATGGCAAATTTCAGTGCCTTTTCTAAAGTGACAAACTTTAAGTTTACGAGGTGATCTTAAACTAACTACTGCCACAAGACTGCTGCTGAATAGTCGTTCAACAATGTATATGTCTTCAGTATCTATAGTTTATATAATTATGTATAATTAAGAAAATTATCTATATAAAAAATATAATAAAAAATATGAAAGATACATTAAAAAAAGATGATAATATAAATACTAAATTATGAAATTCTTAAAATATAAAAAAAGGTTAACTATAATGACTAACAGAAGTTTCAATATCTATTTTATATTGTTATATTTCAATATTTATATAAATTTATAAAAATTTGTTACCATTTTCATATATTTTTTCAAGATGATCAACAGAGACTAAAGAAAAAAGTTTGTAGCCTGACTTTGATCCTACTGCCAAAGATCTAAAATAAATTTTATATAAAATTATTATTATTAAATCAATAATATCAAATTATATGAAAAAAATAATATATTAATAATTATTGTATATTGATAATTATTATATAAAATTTATCAATATTAAAATATAGAATATTATGTATTAATCAATTACAATAGAAATATAAATTAAGAAAAAAATAATAACTTTTTATTTTAAGATAAGATAGAACTAAAGAAATAACAAGATAAAAACAATGCATATAGAAATTTTTCTGATGTACAATATATTCAATTTAAATCATAATTACATCAATAACACGTAATTAATAGGTAAAGGAATAACATACGTAACCGAAACATTACAAGAAATGCAATAATACAAACATAATATTATATATAATAAAAGAAATAAAGATAAATTAATATGTAAGATAAATATTTATAACTTATTCTTAAAAAATATTTTATTTGAATAATAAAATAAAAGTAAGGTTAGTGAACAAAGGACAATGTCTTCACAAACGAAAATGCAACACTTACGTGCAATCCTGATTGAAGTTAACAAAGAAAACACGACTTTGAGGATCAGTAGTTTGATTTGCGAGGTTCATTAGTCCTGATATACTGTATTTTAAGCCCTGTGTCAATACATCCACGTTATGCACGAGATTTTGCATAAATCGCACAGACGGTCCGCGTAAGAACACTTTATCCGCTTCTTTCTTAATTTCTTTTTATATATTTTTCTCTCTTTATTTTTATTGCTTTTTTTTTTATCTGTTTTTCTTCTTTCTTGCACATACGCTAATACAAATACACGCACGCGCACGCTTATACAAGATTTGTGAACAGATGTCGAACTCAATGTCGACGATTCCTAGAAGTGACTATATGATGCAGTATACTGTATATTGCTTGATACATGTCCATCGTTCCATGTATCGAACAGCTGACAGTCTATGTTAAATTTACGGAATGATGAAACTGAAACATCAAATTCTATTTAATACATTTATTATCACAACAATTAAAAATTATTATAAATAATGAAAAAATACTATAATATTTTTTATTATATTGTTTAATTAAAATTTCTGATATATGTGATTGTATTTATAAAATTATTTGTTATTTTTTTGAGATTTATAATGTTTTATCAAATCTAATAAGTATTATAAAAATATAAAAAATTAATTATATAATTAATTATCTCATATCTCAATAAAATATAATTTTGTTTAATTTGTAAAACTTATTTTTTTAAAATTCTATTTTATTTAATTTAATTAAATAAAAAATGAAAAAAAATATTTCGGAACAACGGATATTGAATGCTTTATTTTTTAATAATTATTCACAAGTTATAATATATTACTAAAAAAAAATAAATAAAGAAATTTATAATTTATATTAATATATTATGTAAAATATATACTATTTATTGAAAAATTGAAAACAATTTCAATTATTTATATATATATATATTTATTTCTACATTATTTTGTAAAAATATTACTGATTAAACATTTCAGCTTTTCATTAATCTTGTATCAATATTATTTATGTCAATATAATTATATATTTTATAATATATATTTTATAATTATAAATTAATAAAAATTAATTAATTTTTTAAATTATTTAAATAAATAAATTTATAATTCTATAGTGATTATAAATTAGAAGAATTGTTAAAGTAATAAGTTTTATTGTAGTTTTTTTTGATAGTATATCTAATATATATATATATATATGTATATGATATATATATATATATAATATATGTATAAATGCACACATATATATACACATATCACACATATGCTTTGTAGTTGTATACTTTTATCTTCGTCATAATACTTAAAGAGTGTTCAGTAGTGCTACAGCAATAGTAGCGGTAGTGTTAAATGTGAATGTTTAGTTTATTTGGTATGAAAGATTTATTAGTTCCATTAATATTTATTTTGTGCGTATAATGTGAAAGTATGAAGCATGAGATAAAAAATAAATAATTATCGTGTAAATTAATATTTTAATACTAATCCTCAAATTGGTTATATTAAGATTTTACATATTTAAATTTACTGTAATCTTGGAAAATATGGATATATTTGGTCTTCATCAATTTGTTGCAGCACCAATAAAAAATCTTTTACAATTCCAACGTATTAAAGAGTAAGATGTAACAATTTATATCAATTAACAAATGTTAACCTGTCTACATATCTTTCTAATATCTTTTTAATTCGCTTAACTTATGCAACTAGTGAAGTAATGGCTATTTGAATTAATGTATAACGTTATTAGAAAAGTAATTAATAATGTTTCATTTTTGCATGATATTTTATATATTTTAAATTTTATGTATTTAAATTTTGGCTTTTATTCTTATTTGGTTTTTATCTTTATTAAAATGCTATAAAAAATAATACTTTAATGTAGCATGTTATATTATGTTATATAGTATTATATTCTTGTATCTGAATGAAACCTTAGAAGTTTATTTTCATAATATAACTGAATTTAACACTTTTATATAAGAAATCTAAGAATGTGCATAATTGTTGTATAACAGAAAAGTATTTTTGTTCAATAAAAAAAGAAAAGTTATATTTATGCATTTTTATTTTTATTCTCTTCAAATAAATTTCCTAAATTATATTTTCCAATTATGTATTAGTAAAAAAACATTGCATGTATTGAATACTTTAATCGGGCATATTTACATAAATGGAATGCAATGCTATGTGCTTATAAGTGGATGGATAAAAACTTTTTTCAATTAATATTATTTATGTAACATCTAAATCATATAGAATTATATCTTCAAATCAATTTTATTATATTTTGGAAAATGTTTATTATCATCAAATATAAATTGTCAAGTAGATATTATGAGAACTTATATATTAACATTTACTTAATTCTAATTTTTTATATTTATAAGATAATTTAAAGATTTTTAATTTATTTATTATTATAAATTTATAAAATTCTGTTTATTAAGCAGTTTTTATATTATTCATTTATATATTTAATTATAATATCATTACATTTATAAAAATACAATTCAAGTAAATATATTAAATTGTAAAAATATTAAAAATTAATATTATTTTATATTTTTAGGAATTATTGATGTTTTCTCATATGGTTCATGTTATGATTATTATAAAATATTTGATATATTATGTACATGATATATAAATTTAAAATACATTTAACATGCAACTATATATTTATATATGACTAAATTAAATAATATATTAGGTACATTTTAAATTTTAAACACAATTTTCTATAAAAATCATTTAAATGAAATTTTACTAAAAATTTATTTTAAATAGTAATATTATTTATTTAATTTAATTTTGTTTATTGAATAATAGTAATATTGTTTTATTAAGAGTATAATTTTGATATTATAAATGATTTTTAATAGCTTATTATATTATTCTGTGATATTTTATATATTCACTATTTTTTTTATTCTACTCTTTTTTTTAAATATATTTATTATTTTAAATTTTATTGTAGAAATAATTATATTTTATATGTATATGTTTTATATGTATATTTTATATGTATAATTATAAATTTATAAATAGTAAAATTTACATTAAGAAATAATAAAAAGAATTTTCAATGTTTTATAAATTTCATAAATATATAAATAACTTATCAAATAGCTATTTCTCAAAATTTTTTTTTATTTTGATTTTTATATTTTATTATTTTAAAAAATTATTTTTATAATAATAATTATTAAAATCATTAATGAAAATATTTTTAATTAAAATAATAATGAACTTAAAAATTAATAATCAACAATATTCATTTTCTTTATTAAATTTAAAAGAAATAAAATAGCATAATGCATTCAATTTCAGTTATTTTTTTTTAATCAAAATATATTTATGATCTAAGAAAATGTTTTTTTTTTTAAGAAAATTAATAATAAAATAATAATAAGGATAAATAATTTAATTTATATTTGAAATTCCTTTAACTTTTCTAAAATTCTTTTAAGTTTTCTTTAACAATTTCTAAAATCCTTTTAATTCAATTTTTACTTGCTTGTTACTAAGCAATGTATAAACAGATATAAAAATATGTATAAACAGATTGGACTTTATACTCTCTTTGAATTGCATATACAAAATATATTGTATGCATATTGATATATATATATATATATATATATATGATATATATATATATATACACGTATATACAATTTTAATAATATATAAAAAATTAAAATAAGTATAATTTATGTATAAATTATTTAATAACATTTATTAAATTTAATATAAATATTCCTTTAAGATATAAAAAAATATAAAAAA